TTTTCAGACTCACCAGTAGTTCCGAGGCACAACTCTCTACTATCTTCTGGAATGTTTAGGGATGCGCCAGCTTCCTCCACATCTCCAGAGCGTTGCTCTGGAGACGAGAGCAACGTTTTCACCCCCCTTCCTCCATTCCAGTCCATCACATCTACTACATGCAGATGGAGCTAAACAACAGAAACAGATTCTCCATGTCCTTATTACTGCCAAAAGATTAGTCCTCCAAGATGGGAAAGACAAATATATGGCCCCAATTACCCAGTGGATTGAAGGACTGATGTTACTTGCATCTGACAAACAAGTTGTCTACAGACATAGATTATGCATGGATGATTATAATGAAAAATGATTATCTTTGAATGACTGTTGTGTGTGTGTGTGTGTGTATATGTATGTGTGTGTGTGTGTGTATATATGTGTGTGTGTGTGTGTGTGTATATATATATATATATATCAATAGATGCATGAGAAGCTTTTATATATATAATTTATCTGGTTGTAATTGCGTTGCTTTCTCTGTCTAGCTTTCTCATTCTCATTCTTGCTTTTCATTATTTTTAAATATTTTTCTTTTACTTTTTTCTCTACTATTAAAGAAATAAAGCAAAAAACCAATTCAAAAGAACCCTAAGGCCAGTGAAGAACCTCTATCCCATGCCACCTCATCCATCAGAATTTCACTACATGTTTTTCTCTGTGGATAAAGGAAATGAGTTTCTTTAAACAGGATGAATGGCTGAAAAAATGCAGAGGAAATATTCAGCACAGCACTATAACAAAAACAGAAGCCACTTATTTCCTACTAAGCATATTTTTAATGCAATTTCACCACCTTGTTTTCTGCTGCTTAAATTGTAGTTAACACCTTAAAGATTATACTCTCCTTTTATAGCCGTATGTAACATCAGATGAGAATTGTTCCAATATTTTTAAAAAATAAATAAATCTGTCCCATAGTATCTGCTGGTGAAGCTGCAATGGCTGCAACAGTGATCACATAAGATCAGTGCCTAGAAGCCTGTCTGCTTCTCTATATAAGCAACAGGAAGCAGATGTTCTGAGAAAGGTGCTGAATCCTCACCAAGCCAACCAGCAGAGGCTGAGTCAACAGGAAAGGCCAGTTCTCACAGGAAATGCAATATGATGGCCTCTGAAGAGCCAAATTGCTTTCGAGGTTAAAAATATCTTGGGTATAATGTGTACATAGATGAACATTCATAGTCTTTTAGACTTGGAGTAAAGGCAGGAAATTAATGGGAAAAGAGCTTTTTTTTGCAGAAAAAAAAATTTGCAGAAAAGGTACATGGAGGAAATAACTGCTGGGATTGGACTGGCTGGTCCACAAGTCACCATCTCATACCAGGGGAACGAATTGGCTTTGTAATGAGAGAATGTAGCCTTTTCCCATCACCCCAGAACTTTCTATCTAGTATGTTAGGGGAAACATATAAGAGAAAGAGAAAATTGGACAGCCTTGGCTTACCTCCACAACTTTATAATGTACTTCATTACACTTCTGTGGCAGAATCGGGAGTATTGATAAAGGAATCAAAATGCCATCCAAAGTATGAATAATACCATTTGATGCCAAAATATCCCTTCTGTTTATTGCAATCTTGGAATCATCCAACAGAATCCTTCCCTGGAGTAAAGAAAAAAAGTATTTGCTCACCACTTTGTCAGAAGTCATTGAAACAGATCTGTGCAAGGTAGGCCCTGTCAAGATATTGGTGTAATTGCTTTCACAGTAGAAAAGTGGAAAATATTTCCTCAGTGCTGGAGGGAGCTATGCATAAAGAGAATCAGTACATAAACCTGCTAGCTCCTGTCTGTAGAAAGTAGTCAAAACTATGGGCAACATCTCCAGTTTCCTATCAAACAGGATAGCAGCATTCTATGAATTTCAATGTACATTGTAAGAGTACTTACATCGTTACTGATCTCAACTGTCAGCAGTTGGTTTGCCATGGTCAGAATATGTGGCATTATCATTAGTCTTTCTGCATGGACCTGGAAAATATTGTATTTATTTATATATTTATTTGATTTATATAGCCACCCATCTCACATACAGTTGACATACTCGGGCGCTTGGGCCTCAGACCAATATGTTCTGTTCATGAGCCATTTTCATTTGGCCCAGAGAAATGTTTGGTTTTCTGGAGGGGCATGGCTACTTTCTCCCTAGAGGTGCATCTGGATGAAGTTCTTACTGTGCAGTCACAAACCTTTCCCTAGCGCCATGGTCCTGATCCAAATAAGACTCCTCCATGGCCCCGTGTAGTCTCTTGCACATTTACTGAAATTATGTCTCACTGACAACAGTGAGATTTACTTGGGAATAAATATGGAGAGGGTCTAATTATAATTTTAAACTGAAAATTACAGGATTCAGTAGACAATTTCTAAGACCAGCATATCATAAATAAATGGAGAAGGCAAAAGTGTTAACTTGCGCCATTGACATCATCCTTGGAAATAGATGTGCCAGTATATATGTTTATGACCAATTATGACATAACTAATCTAAAGAATGCTTTACCAGGAAATGGGCAGCTACTTTTTGCAAATTTATAAGGAGGCCAGTCTCATGTTTATAAATGGGGTTATCAATTGCTTGCAATTACTTCCAAGTACTCCATGGAAAGAACATGCAAGCAGATATAGAATCTAACTGTTACCTATGTGTGATCACATTTCAAATCCAATAAAGTTTTCGTCTGTATAAGACATTAAGTGGTCTGGGAGCATCGGATGCCATCACGTGGTTTACAAATGGACATGAGAAGCTTTTGCCTGGGAGAATGATTTAAGAGTAAGATGCACATTTCAAATTAAATAAATGAGCCACAAACAGGGGTTTCTAATTGGGCAAAATCACCAATAGATTTAGTTTAACAATTATAAATCACTGCCTCTTTTGAAAAGGCTTGTAATGGCATGTCATATACAGCATGCTTGTTCCTATTGTTCTATTTTTGTTGGGCTAGTTCCCTAGGGCAGTGTTTCTCAACCTTGGCCGCTTGAAGATGTGTGGACTTCAACTCTCAGAATT